CGGCATGTATGTCTTCCAGATCCTGGACTGGTACAATGCCATCGTGTCTCTCTTTTTCATCGCCATCTTTGAGGTCACTTCTGTCGCCTGGTTTTATGGTAAGAATTCATGTGGGGGAGAATTTGAGTGGACTCTGTACAACCCTTTTTAATGCTTCAGTATTTTTCTGTCACAAGTTTGTAAGGTTACAGAAGAGTAAAGGGAACAGATAAATGGTCTTATCATTTTACAGATAGTAAATACGGATGATCTTGCTTCTAAAATTGACTCCGCCACATCAACATTGACAAAATTTGCAACTCCATCATGTAGGTCTGGTTCCCTCTATCCAAAAGAAGTCAAATTAATGCCACTTTCTGCCAACTGCAAGTGTAAGATCTTGTTACTGACAGCCAGTTGCCACTTTTTATCACAGAGCACTGTAATGGCTGTTTCTTTCTAAATATTGGGATTCAGGTGCCAAGAGATTGGCTCGCAACATAAAGGAGATGACTGGATCGCCCCCGAACATCATCTTTGTTATCTGTTGGGTCTTTCTCTCGCCTGCTCTCATCCTGGTAAGCCCCACAAGTAAAATGTCCCATGATTATTTGAACGTGAAGTTTCTCATGCCTGATGGAAGGGGCGTCCACTCGGTGGTGGATCTGGTGTGTTTCACTGAAGTGAAAGCTCTCCTGTAATAGCCTGGGCGTCAGGGTTTTATTATTTGAGATTTAAGATTGGTAATACACATGCAGATGTATGTCAGCTTTTCGTTTTATTACCTGAAAGGCAAAAACGTCAGTGCTGACTTGTTTGCAGAATTAGAGGGTTAAAGCGCTTTTGTTATTAAAGTGATGTTGTCTTCAAACTTGTTGTGAATTAAAGTCTCAAGCCATGTACCAGGCTTTCCACCAAGGGCATATTTTACGCCTTGACCTCAACATAATGTGAATTCATAAAAATATACTGAGATGTGACACAAGGTGAGAGAATGTTCTAATTTTTGGTTCAGTGTGTGCTATTGAAGGACTCAAGCCACTACAGAATGGCTATGCTGCCCTCTATTGTTGGAGTTTGAAATTGGAAAACCAAGACTTGTTCACCCATCTTTGCACATTCCATACAAAATAGTTTCAAGCCAATGATATTTTAGGCAGTATAACCAGTGACATACCACAGCAAAAAGACAATGAATTTAACAATGGAGTAGAGAATGTAGTTTTGTTGACTTGAAATTCAAATCATCTTAGCATGCTAATAGTCACAGACTAAGATGAAATGATTGGATGTTGATGTTTCAGATAGATAGTGTGTATGTGTGTTATGATAAACTGGATTCATTATGAAAACTCTTGTGTACATTTACTACCCAAAAGAATAATTGTTGTAATCTCATTGTTAGGGCTATTTGTTGAGTACACTGAGCAAATCTTTTGTGGAAATTCTGTGTCTCAACGTAGCAATAAAAACATGTTGATCCGTGTCCAGATATTACAGAATGAGTAGTGTCATAAATTCAATCTTCCTGTGCATTGGAGCAAATGTTCTGAGCTCTCTAGTTTATCCTCTCATCAAAAACAGACATAATGAGGGTAATACATTGACAGTTATCATTTATATCCTCTGTCACCTTAAGCCAAGCATAGTAATTGTGACTTCAATTGGTCCCGGGAGTTTAGTTGATGGAACATCAAAAGTCTGTCATCAAGTCTCCCATGAATCTGCTCGTCAACTGTTCCTTCAAGAGTGAAATTATGTTTCTGCCTTCCGGTTACTTCTCATCAGGTTATCATGGTTTTCCAGTTCATTGACTATAAGCCCGTCAAGTATGGTGGTCAAGAGTTCCCCGATTGGGCCATTGCTATTGGCTGGTTGGTCGCCTTTACATCATTCTCCTGTATCCCGCTCGGGGCTGTCCACACCCTGCTGACGACCAAGGGGAACCTCAAAGAGGTATGTACCCTGATTGAGAGGTAGAATCTCCCAATCAGGAGATTATCCCCAGATTGGGAAACTGCGCACTACATATTTCATTTGATCAGAATATCAGTCAAAAGATCTAAATGGCTTGTAGCTATCTGTAGCTGGAGAAGACTGTGCTTAGATTTGAGAAATGTTCTTAGACAGATAACATTGCTAGAAACTGGCCGCGTTTTTCTGTTTCCAGCTTTCAAATCTTGCCGGACTCACAGTGAAGCACTTTTCAAAATAGTTGCAGTTTGTGAAATTTCTCGGCCCAAAAAGTATGGTTAGATCATTTGTGAAATGCACTATTGCTTCTGTTGGAAATTTCTAATGAAATGTCCTTCCACCTCTCAGCGTTTACTGCTCAGCTTCCGTTCTCCCATCGACGAGGCAACATACAGTCTGCAGTTCTCAGAGCCCAAGTTTGACAAAGATGTCCCACCGTCCTATGAAGTGGCTGTCCAGTGTGAGAAAATGTAACTAGAAAAAGCACTGAATCTCACAAGGTATGAGTGTACTCGCTCCGTTTTTTTTTTTTTAGACATTCCTGGTTATGGAAGTTGTGACATGTAGAAATTTCATCCAGGGGATTTGGTGTGTGGTATGACAGTTTTGATTTACCTCTATGATTTTCAGGTTATTGTTTTATTTTGGCGGTGTTACATATTGTGGTGAAGATGTTAGGGCTGCATAAAAAGGAGTACCATTTTTTTTCATGTCTGAGAGGCGGAAGCAAAGCAACCAAGATCATCTGCCTTGTAAAATCATTGCAGATGTCTGACTTGTTCTGTACATACATGTGTGAATAGTTTCCAGAGATAAGTTGAAACCGTAGCTGGTAAGAAAAACACCATTCTTTTGCTGTATTGTACAAATTTATTTACAATTGACGCAGTTCTGACAAAAATGATCAAACAGTGCGCCTTCAGTTTCCTTGAGCTTTCATGAAAGTTGATGTTTTGTTTAACTACTTGTAAGTGCTGCTGTTTAGTTTTTGAAAGTAGTCAATAGGTTACACTGAAGAAAATGTTTAGCTAACAAAGTCTTGCAGATGACATCTGTTTGTGTGCTTTACATGTTAGTGAGTCAGAAGTGTCTGGTAAGAATATTTTATGCAAAATCTTCGTTACTGTTACTCTGTGGACAACTCCAAGAGCGATATTGAATTAAAAGATCGCTAATCCCCATTCCACTATGTGAAGTTAATGTGAAGCTGTCCCAAGGACAGACATCGTGAATTTGTGACCGGCTCTGCAAAAGGTGTATTATGTCACTTTTTTTGGATTTGGGACATATATAATCAAATTGCTCACATCTGAAGCTTTTATTTGATATGTTATTCATCCCACTGGCATTTTATATTTTGAAGTTATTTGCTATTTGCATATTCATATAATTTCATTTTATCACACATGCTTTTTGAGATCATGCCCTTTAAACATAACAAACACAGACATTAAACTGAAATTAGGCATTCTCTTGGTCCTTAGCATTGGAAGCTTTCTGGTCAAGCAGTTGGCCTCAAAATATTTCCAAATATTTCACCCTCGGCACATGGAATGGGCCCATTACGTGCTTTTGCATTGTGTGACTTAATACACCCTGTTGCTGAGCGGGTTGCATTTTATGTGCATGTTCCCAAATAACAAATTCGGGTTCACAATTTGAACATGAAAACATGCAACCTGAACCATGTCTTCCTGGATTTACATCAAAGCAAAAGCGCCCTCACCTGTCCAGAAATGCTTGGTCAATTTTTCAATGTTTGAAAAGGTGCACCGTTCAGTTCACATAACTCAAAAAAGATGTCAAGCAGTCTTCATACACGGAAGAAGAGTACAGAGATACACAAAACTGATTCTAAGAAAAATTTTATTTCCTGGATCCCCTAATGTCATCTGAGTTGGTGGCCTGTCATTATTGCCGTGTACATTTCTGACGCTACTGCCTTAGCAGCTACCTTGAATCCCTCAGGGTTAAATAAACAGTCAGTTCATAATTCAAAGATTGTTATCTCTTTGCTTGTGTGTGACAAACTAATTCTGGGGAAGATAATAGCAGTTCAGGTCTGTTTGTTTGTTGGGTTGTTTGTTTTTAAATGTCAAGACACCATTCTAAATCCATGTCTGGCTTTACTCGCTTTTAGAAACAGAAAAGTAATAACTTTCTTTCCAGAACAGAGGCTCATGGAACAAAGGCAAGGCATTCATTGTCTGACAAGAAACCTCAAACATTTCAAACGTTACCTAAACCAACAAAATCTATCATTTCTAGTTCACAAAGTACATGCAAATGCAGGATCTATTTTGAAGTACGCAGTAGTTTTCTGCCGTTTATTAGTCTGCAGTAACCATCCAGACAACATGAAATAAAATTTAGTATTTCTATGGTCTAAAAACTGAATGGCTCTACAGTCATCACAGTGTTTCATTAGCAAGTGGATTTATAAATTGCTCTGAAATTAAGTCCAGTAATTTATAGTAAAAAAAGTTTCAATATTAAAAAAAAACAGAAATAAAAGGATTATGTAAATTGGGTGTAGAGGCTTCAATATGAGAGGCAGTTATTTTGGGTTTTTCTAGCATCGCGAATTGATATCTTTGGTACTATTAGCAGATTGGCTATTGTTATAAAATTATTTATTATTGGCCAGAGGATATAATTAACCAGGAGCTCGGTAGAGGGAGCAATCATGAGTTTCTATTAAGGTAATACATTTACCATTGACCTTGGATTTTCATGTATTTTTTCTATTCAGATGACTCATTAAATGAATCTTAGGGGAAGCTTCAGGTTATCTGTTCAACCTGGGAAATGCTTTGTGATTGGTCATTACTGTTAAACATTACAAAAATTATATTGTTTTATTTTTTATACCCACCACGGCACAGTGTTTTGTTGTTTGTTTGTTCGTTGCTCCGAAGTGGGTTTTACCAACAACTCAGTTTAATTACGTCATACTTTAACCTACATTTTTGTTCGCCCCGACCATGAAAGGTGATTTTTCTTATTGGTTAATTACTATAGATGTGAAGTTCCAAATGCTTCTCTTGACAGTTTGATCAACAGGTGGTCGCAATTTCTATTTGAACAAGTATTGGGTTGATGCTCATTTAGAGCTAAAAACGTTCCATTTTTTCATTTGTCATTTTTTCTGTACCAGCACGATGGTCCTGTATGATATTGTAATCTGATACAAGGAATATTGGTTTTGCGGCCTCTTAATAAACCGCTGATTGGAGTGGCACAAATACTGTAAATTTTGTTCTGTTTTAATCTTTTAAACTCGTGTGCTTGGTGTTTGAAAACAACTTGACATCCATTTTGAGAATGTCAGTTAAGTACAGGTTACATTTTAACATTAAAATTGGCGATGCTATCTTGATTTCATTGTAAAACCCAAGTTTCCCTCTGTGCAAACATGGCTGGAAAAAAAGGAATTCTAGGCTTGTTGTCAAACAATGAATCCCAAAGGTTAATTTACTACAGCCAAATATCAAAAACTCTGCAGTTTTTTGCTTGCTGGCTGGCAAGCTGGCTTGGTTGGTTGGTAATTGGTTAGCTGGCTTGAAGTCACCAAATACCATTTTAAATTGTAAAACAAATCTCAGTACGAGATTCATCGAATTACAAGGATGCACTTCCAAGATTTCCTGTAAAAATGCATTTCGTGGAGGCCTATCGTGAATTTGGGTTCATTGAGCCTTAACGTCTATCTTTTACACCTTGAAACACCTTAACAGGCTTCAAACAAGTTCTGAAAAGGGGCTTTGTAACTGAGCCCACACTGTTGACAGTTCCAATATCGATTGCCTCTTTTGTTTCTCAAAATGGCAATTAGCTATTTACAACTAGCTTTTCTCTTCAACCAGTTTTAAGCAGTTTTTTGGTTTAAAAATTTAAGCTTTCGAACCAATCCTGAATTCATGGACGGGTTTTGTGGACGATTTCAATGATGTGGATTTTCTTAAAATGTCGCCCGTGAAGATTGAGGGTCAAATGTATTTTGCATGTCAAGAGGCGACAGTCGTCGACTAATCTTTGCCCACCAGAATTTGTCAGCAAATTCGTTGCACCGATGCGAGGTTTCTTGATAATCCACTCGCATTCAAGACAGGTTGACACAAATTTCTGGCCAAACTGTAAAGAAGGTGGGAGCTCGTAGGGCCTACCCATTAATCCGTCCACTAGCTCGGGTACACGCACAGCTTCAGCCTTCTCCAGTTTTAGGTGTGTCCAGATCGATGTACAGTAGTTTGTGGTAAGTGTTCATATTTTAGCATGCTCCGGAAGAGACTTAAATGTCCCCACTAAAGCCCGCTTGGAAAACGGTCTTAAAAGAAAAAGGACTTAACACATTTCCAATTTTCTGTGAGCAAACAGAGATCCGACTTTTCTTTGGCACTGATATGGTCAATGGAGTTCAAATTTTTCGCAGCTTTAGCATGGTGGTTGACCATGCACCTGCACTCCAGTTCCCCCTCCCCAGGCCCATCCCGTTGAAAATAAGATCCACGTCCTCTAATTCACGCGAGATGTCGCGTGATTCGGTGCTATTCACTTTGTTGAGTCTGGGCTCGCTTGCTCTAGACACGCATATATTTTTAATACATGTATATCTGTCCGTGGCTCTAGGCCTATTCGCAGCTGCAATGAAATTGATTGACAACGGCAAGGAATAACACTTTCATCTATGGCATTTTTTGTTACAATCGCCAGTCTGATGCTTGAAAAGGACGAGCGATACGAGCGAATTTATTACGCTCAAAGATTGCCCGCTTTCAGCTCGCACCATATATACGTGAAACGCTGCAGCCGCGCGTCTATTAAAATATACACGTACATGATGCGAGTTACATGTTCTCGTGACGGTGTTCCATATTTTCGTTTGACGCGAAGATGAAAGCTCCACTTGATTATAAATATAATTTGACCCTGATTCCGTCATTGGTCGTGAAGTGTTTCTGTAAGTCTTCCGATCGGCCTTATAAAAGAATGTTTTTTTGTGTGGAGGATATCGTAGGGTGGGCTGAGGGTTTGGCTGTGATTACTCATCGGCGCTGCGAGCTGCTTTGAGCTTCAACATTTTTACCATAAATTAGTGAAGTGAAACTAGGCAGAAGTAAGTTTGGGACGGCATTGCTCTTGCAACACAGGGTCTCCTCAATTTCCGTGCAATGTGTTGCATGATTTCATGAAACTTTAACGTCAGCCAACTATGCCAACAAAAATCAAAGGCTAAACCTGCTCGTTTCATGGTCTTTCATCGTCATGCAGAGGACGTCATTTACCCCTAAACTGCACCGAAAGCATAATGAAGATAAATCACTCGTCTTCAAAATGTGCGGTGATATTTTATGGGTTTTTTTCCCAGCTAACGAGTTTGAGAGGAGTGTTTTCTGTGTGGTTCTATGGAGATAATGGTACAAAGAGTTCTTCAAGTTTGATAAAAGCCTCAACAGTAATCCATACCGACGACGCTAATAACCAATATCGAGGAGCGCGTCATCTGGCCAACTTAAAGATCGATCAGGGCGTCATGGCAACATGTGCTTGCGGGGGACAGCCCATAGCATAGCCTCATAGCCTGTTTACTTTTGTGTTATTCGGGAGTCGACCATGACACGAATTAATGAGTGTTTGGGGTCTGCTTTCGTAGTTGAGTAAAACCGGTGTTGTAACTTTTGAAAAAGAGATTTGGAGAAGGCTGAGAAAGCTGTTGTGTTTGTGCGTGTGAGAGGCCTCGCGAAATGACCTCAAAGTGTGGTGTTTTCTCGCTATGCATGCCTGCTACACCTGAAACAAATCTTCATTTTTCATCAAATCCAATAATGATAATCATAATTATTACCAGCGAAATAATAAACAAAGGTATACGCTTTTCAGTACTGCTGAAATTTCGTTGTACTTCCCTTTTATTTGAATTAAAGTGCCGTGACCACGTGGAACTCTTTAGACCACATTATATAGTCGAGTGCCTTGTACCGCTCGGTGAGGCAAATGGGGACAAACACTGCCCAATAATATTGGTGCCTCTAGGGCATATATCAGTAAATGGTGTGCTGCAGGCACTTCATTGCCTACTTCAGACTCGTTATTAGTTTGTACACCCATTCTGAAGCACATGCTGTTATTTAATGTGCACTTCACGAAGAGGGCTGTGTTAATATATTCTATCCCAGACACTATACACACAGGAGCTTGTTCGTCAGTTATTGGTTTATTCCTCCAAGAAACTAACTGTCCCTGTAACTGCCGCAAAAGCCTATGAGTTCTTAATCAGCTTAGTCACCTGCCCTTAAAACCTGCTGGAATCTAGTGGACCCCTTTGCTTAAGCTAAACACACCGGGATAGTTTTACCAAACTTTGTGAGTTTTTCCAAATCTGTAACATCGTTTGACCCCTTATACCCGTTGCAAGTTTCTTAAGAGGCATCCATGGCATACATCAGTTTGTTCTCAAGAGGAAACAGTTGTCAGACATTTTGAAACGGATGGAAAGATTGCTGCTTGGGTTCAACGTTTAGCGCCTGACTGTTGTTGCTTAAGATAAAAGGGCTTTACCAGCATCACACGTGGCGTTTCTAATATTATCAGCCTTGGTATATCTAAGCCACCATCTTTCGTTTACGTGGCACTGTAGCATAATCGCCGGTAAATTTCCAAGTTCCTACGTACATGGGGGAAAATCTTTCCTCCCTGCTACGAAGAACAACTCCCCATTGCATTGGATGATTTTCTCTGTTATCACACCGTGTATGTATTCATTAAGTGCCCAAGGACTTGGAAAGAATACCTAAATCCTCTTTGTTCGCCACACCGTCTTATCGGTCAATGGGGCTTCTTCGCCGTGGATTACGGGACCTCGGTCGCTTGTGGATAAAAGCCCAGAGAAAGGGATCTTTAATTCCATGGTCTCCCACAAAGTTTGGGCATTAACTACGTTGGTAACAGTTCACCGTTATACATTCCAGTGAGGAGATCCTCTTAAAAAGCACAATATATGTACCACACACAATTTCCCGTCTTGCCTCAAAAATGAGTCTACTAGGCAAATGTAATTTATCCATTTTTAAGGGGGAACCCCGGCCTGTCTTAGAACTTGTTCGATTTGGATTTGGCAACGTTTAATCTCAATCCCACTGCAAGTTCGCTGCTTTTCTGAAGTCATTTGGCCATGCGACAACTTCGCTCGAGAAAACTCCGTACAAGACGAAATGCCCCAATGGAGCGGCACAAAGCCCGCGTACCTATAAAATGATGTAAACCACGAAAGCGATTTGTCGGAATAGCCTACATCTCGCGACTCTTCATCCACCATACTTGACTTTTAAGCTCACTTTTCTCGTTTTCCTTTGGACTTACCTTTACTGGAATGGCTTCAGTGTGCCAGTACATTGTATTTAATGACGATATTGTGTTACAAAAGTGCAGGACGATAGCCTGTCCTAATAATGATTGTTGATTTTGCTGATTATTATAGGTTTATTCTGATATTCTTTATCTCTTAGAGTGATGCAGCATGTGCTTTTTACGTGTATTTCATTCGCTTGTACCAAGTTGATGCACGTGTCTTAATCTGTTACGCGGAAGCTAATTAAAGATTCATTTATGGTAATTATATGCGAACGCGTTGTAGATGTATAATGCTGTTTTGAAGCCTTCTTTTGTGGAAATACATTTGGCTGCCGCAAAAATCATTAAATTGTTGCCACGGGAAGAAAAATAGTGAAGCGATGTACCACCCGGGATATATCGAGCGGTATGGGTACCTTTTGTGAGTTCGCCGGGCAACGATGGTACATTGGGCGTCGTTGCTACCAACACCTACGGATTTAAGAAAGTACGCACCGCACTTGAGTCACTTGCAAACCTTGCCGGCGGAAGAGATACACACGCTCCTAGCCCCACAGGACGATCTTGCCAGTGAATTACTTGACTGACTCTTGGATTTTTTACCCGCTTGGATTAAAGTCAGCTCAGGTAAGTCTAGTGAGAATAGAATATTTGCGGTTGTGGTGGTCTTTGCACAGGTCGAACATAAATGCGTGTTTTCGGTTTGCTTCTTGTTTCAAAAACGTCAAAAACTGGAGATATTTAATTTGTTGAAATATGCTTGCCTTCCCGTCGTGAACTTCTAAAACGAGTGTAATTCTAAAAGTTAATCCTTGGTCAGTTTTAGTTAGATCCTGCAATTTCTTGAGATTGTCAAATTAACGTACGGTTACATTCAGTATACTCTTAACTATTGCTCGCGGAGTCCCTGTAAAACGCGCGTCCCTTTTGGAATTAAAGTAGTTAATGTTATCAACTCCCTTTTCGTTTACTATAAATTTCATCTGAAAACAACAGCACTCCAGTGTCTATTTGAAAGAAATTCCTCAATCTTTTTTCAACCATTGAATGACTAGATTTATTTCATTCGGTCAGTCACGTTAGCACACACATGGTCAAATACTCAGTCTTAATCACCATATCAAGAATAGGTACATTTACTCTCGAGTAAAATGATTCTAAATCAATATGACGGTCTAGGGTTTCACAAATCCTTTCAAGAGGGAAATCAGCCACCACGTAAAATCCAACGAACGGCAGGATCCCGCAACATTGGCGCGAAATGTTTATCAAACTCAAGTCTCCTTAGCAACAGTGGTCACAATAGAGCATAATGGACATCCTTAGTAACCATTGTTCATCCTCCGCAGGCACATTAGCCAGGATATCTCTTGCTAATTGCTTTTAGATACTAGATTCTGCGTTCAGTGCTGGCTACTGATCTCCTGTGCGAAAGAAGAGTGTTCTGCTTCATTCTGACAAATCTATTTTTACTTCTTGGGTATCTTTTCAGAATATATCACAAAACCATCAGTTCGAGCAACCTTGAACCATACGTCAAGATGGCATTCCTGAAATTTGCTGCTGTCCTCCTCACCTGCTTCATCCATTTATGTGGTGAGTTGTTGCACGACAAATATCTTGCATCTTATTCAGCAAACTGAAATGCTCCATTTTCAGTGATAAAACATTTACCGCAACTTATACCAAATTTTAGAACATTAACAACCTTTCTGTTCGCTGTTGCGGCTGACGTTCGTCATTAATCAGTACTTAAATAATTTTTCCCCCACCAAACCAGCTTCCCAATCTGTCGACGTTGAAATCACTGTGTCCAGCCCGTCTGACATCATCGACGGGGAGAGCACCGATGTCACCTTCAGCGTGGACTTCACCCCGTTCAGCGGGGCCGCCTCGGTCATCAACGCCCTCTCCCCCTCGACGCGCTACACTGTCATCGCCGGTATGTTCACCTCGGATGCAGGGGACGTGAGCAGCTCCATTGGTGGCACTGAGGTGACCCTGAGCAGTCGCCAGCTTAACGAAACCCTGACGGACGGCGTGGCCACCACCTTTTCCGGACTGACGGCCGCCCTAGACCTGACCAGCGAGGATTGCGGTAACGACGGCACCGACTACACCTACTTCTGCGTCATCGTCTCGCCTAACACGTCTGGTGCTGGCTGGTCAGGCGTAGACACCTCCAACAACACCGACTGTGCCTCTTTAGTGTGCAAAGGTGAAATACAGTAAATCTCACTCAGCGCTTATGCTTGAATTTTTGAAACTTTAGTTTTCATTTCACAATTAGAATTTACTTAGTCTAATTTCGATCTAATTTTTGTTATAAAAATATAATAGCCTCGAAAATTGTTCGGAACAGTGGGATTTATTTGGGTTATTTTCCTCTTTTTGCTCTGCAGCTGTTGTGGATCTGAATGTGGATACCCTGTCCATCACTAATCCTGACGATGGAGTGATCGGCGTTGGTGCCGGCCAGGCTATCGAGTTTGACGTAGATATCTCGTCCCCGGCCTCCTCCGATTCCGTCATCGGTGTCAGCAACTGGGCCGTGTCCATGTGGCTGTCCGATGCGGATTCTAGCGGCACCGTGGTCGCCCTGACCAGCGTTACCCTGACCTCGGCCCAGCTCACCGTGGACCTGACCAACGGCAGCTCGGCTGACATCGACGACATGGCGGTCACGCTGGACCTGACGTCCGTCACCTGCAGCCAGTTCAGCTACAGTTGCGTCTCCGTTGAGCCGGCCAGCGGCGCTTCCTGGAAGATCCAGACCACGGGGGCTTCCAACTCCAACACCGCCTGTACGGCTGTCACCTGTGGCGCCACCATCGCACAGATCAGTTTGGTTTTCCTTGGGCTCTGCTTCCTCCTGACGTCACTTCTTATGAACCAGTCATAGGCATCCTTAAAGGACTCCATCACCCTTCATTCAAAGACTTTGAGCCAAATCAGAGACAGTGCAGGCCGAAACAGTGCTGAACTTGTGTGTTATTACGTGTCATTTAGGGGACTCAGTAACTCGAACACAAGATTGGAAAGTGAGGAAATGGGCCTTGTTATTTTCAGAGAAAATGCTGTTCATGATCTAAACATTCCAAAACTACAGAACACCGCTAATCATAATTAATTAAGAAGCTTCGAAGAGGATTCAGTCTACTTTGGAAAGTGAATCCCATTTTGGTTTCATCATTCAAAAAAATCCGTTAGAAGATTCCGTTTTCAAAATTCCTCCTACAACAAAATTAAATTTTAGAAACTCTGAAGTATGGATTTTATCCTTCCTGTGTAGAGAGCCACTAAAGCTATGAATGGAAAATCCAATATGTAAATAGGTCATATTTTGTAAAATATTTTAAGATAATTTGTATCGCATATTTTGGAGGCAACTGGCATACATGAATATATTTTATATTTCTGTATGTTAAATTGCAAGCAATGGAGTTTTGTTCAGTTATTATTTTTTAGTAAAATGCCATTTTCTAAATAATCACCAGATGAGAGTGACTTAAGCTTTATAGTCCACAGTCGGTTTCAGACAGGCAATGACCACTAATGCGTATCGACATTTTAGCTATGTGCCATTTCGGTTTTGAACATTCTCAGCAAAAAAAATGTTCATGGAGGATTTGGATGACGGCGCGCCTCGGTTTACACATTTCTGTCCTTTGAAAAACCAACCCTAAAAGGATCTAAATTTGTTAACTGTTGAACATTCAACCTCCTAAACGTTTTTACGAAAATGTTCTGAACTACAAAGATTCCGTTAGAATAATTATGTGATGTCTCCTCTGCGACCGTGGACATACCGTTTTCATTATCCTTACAATAATTACTAAAGGTCTTTTATGAGAATCGGTCAAAAGGACTTATTATTGTCGGGCACTTTAAAATGTAAACAGTTCTGTTGGTTTGACGTCAACCACAGTGCTTTTTCCCCGTCTATTGACACTTTTTATTGTCTTTTCGTCGTGTCTGTCTTTGTTGATTGCTGAAATCAGGGTGCGCACCATAATTTGTTTTAAGTTGTTATTGAAAGAGTGATGAAATAAAGTTACACCTTCATGTTGAAAGTAAACTCTTTGCAGTCTGTCATAGCGTCGAGGCTAATTCGGTCGTGACAAGACAATCTTAGTTGAACTTTTATCTGGCCGTCGTGGGATTTTTATTTGGTCTTTGTAGGGGGGCTGATAATGATGGTAAAAAATGTTACGACAAATCTTCGTGTACTACTGCAAATCAAGCCACCAAATGATGTATTCTCTTAATTAGGCAACATTATAAGCAGTTACAAAGACACTTAAAGACACAATCTCGAGGTTGCCCTCGGAATTCCCCGGAAATACACATGGAGGATCCGATTTTATTTTCATTAAATCAACGCGAAAGGAGATCTTGAGCTTTGATTAAGCGTTTTTTCCCTAAGGGAAAAAAAACAGGTGGGCAAAGTAAAAACTGAATTTAAATCTTTGAATCCTGGTTTAAGGTAACTTCCAACAGTATTTGCCCGTACTACAGACCGAAGTGAACCACAATCCCACAATTCTGTGGGCACAGGCTAATAATTGTGTCCGATATTTGTTCTCGAATTTACCCAAAACTGATGTTGGGTTCACCCAGATCAAGTTCTGCCTAAAAACTAAGACTAAATGTTTAATTAAAGACTACTCTATATCATCTACAAGAAGATATCTCTGTGAAGAAAATGTGCGTTCATGGCTTTTTTCAGTTATTTATTTTAGTCATAATAATGCTGATATGTTTGCTTTTAAGTTGTGAAAAAAGTTTCTCTGCAAGTAGAAAAAGGAGCTGATTAAACGCTTTTTTATATAATTTATCTTCAATTTTCTCCTTTTCAAGTTAACGTTTTCATTTAGGAAAGTGTGTCTGCATATGTTACACTGTTTCTCCCTTAAGCTCTATTATGCAACTCAAGAATACTCTACAATCAACTGTGTTTACAAAGCAGTATCAAAAATTCATTTGATTTGCCTGGCATAGCTTGCATTCCCCCGAACCTCAAGTCTTGTATTGACTGGCGCTTTGTCAGACTGCGGTCTTTTATTCTCGGGATGGGGAAACAAACATCATCGCCCGTCTCCAAGGAGACGGACAAGGGAAGTTTTTACCTCGTACTTCGAGGGGATATAAATAATTAATCTTCTGACCAGCTGGAGAATGGAGAAAGTGTTGCCAGTCTTTCCTTGGCTACCATTCTGATCAATACCATAGGCCTTGCGTGTATATGTATTTGTGGCAATGTGCACATGGAGATTAAGGGGTGATGTGTCTGTTGTTCTGCCAGAGAGAAGAAAAGACTTGGAACTTCGCGGAAGATTATTGTGCCGGGGCCATGGCAACTGCACGACAGGCCCGCCCTGCGGTACGAAGGTTCCTGGTGCACTTCAGGTGCCAAAGGAGATCGAATGTAAGCCGTGCGAAGTGCTGAAATGCAATGACTTTCTGTGTTCGCGGCAAGTGAACCGGGTGAATTTCGAGTTGTTCCAGCAAGGCCATAGCTTTCAATGAAATCTTTCAGGACAACATATGCGTGTGTTTTGTTAATGCCATGCGAAATCTTTCGACAGAAAGTCAGTGTCCAAGGCAAATTTCATGTCGGCGACAAAAGAAATCCCAAGTACATCAATATCATACATAGTGAGATTTGTTGCAAAAATTAATGGGAACTGGGGTGTTAGGGTTGGTAATTGTATTATAGTCTAAATTATTACAAACATGTAGGGAAAGAAGCACTGAGCTTTTGGCTTTTCCCATTTACATGAACAGTGGCGCCGGATCAGAAACATGAGACATACAATATGAGACACTGGCAGGACAGACAGCAGTAAGACATGCAGATATGCGAACACGCAGTTGAAACCAGACCTTTAAAGAATGTGTAAAGGACGTCTCTCGCTCTCCACTTGCAATTAAACCCAAATTAACTTGGAAGGAAAAAAAACACTTTAGGTGACGTCAGACTTTCTGTGACTGGTTTCGCCGATTAACATGTGGTGTTGTGGTGTGAATGAAATGCTCTAGTAAAGGATGCTTTTACACACACAATAGTGTCTTATATCGTTATATGATATAATGACTCTTCCTTAGAACCAGATAACAGCAGCGGTCTTTCCGTGAAAAACAAAGCTACTGTCACAAAATCAGACATTGATTATCCCCCATCGGACAATGTCGGTATCAGCCGACTGGTACGTTACATGAGAAAATAGGGTGTAATGCGGCGGGAGACTCTTTACACCGTGACACACAACGTCTTCAATAGTTCAACAGTTTCGGCCCTGAGCCTGCCCTGCCTATAAACGACCTATACTGTACAAAAGTTAAAAGGACAGCTCAGAAAAATAAATGACCAGCTGACCACAACTTCTTCACGGTCTCGCCGCAAGCACGGTACCGGGTATTTTAGTACGGACTAATGAGGGTGGACCGTGCCAGATTTTACTCTGACCATGAAAGTTGGGAGTTCATCGGACTCAGTACACGGCGCATTGCAGGATTAGGGCCACGGAATTACATTAGAGATTAGACGAGCCACAATACCACAATATCACTGCGTTGTCGCTGATCCCTACCCTAAGGAAATGACACTGAGTGGGTGTGCTAGCATGACAATAGTGCAAGCCGTACAATTACGGCTTAAGGAAAGACTTACAGTTACTAAGGCTTCACCTCTGATCGTTGAGTCCACACAACTGATAACCAGTTTGAGTTCATGATTTTTTAAAACATTTACAGTAACACCGTTGAACAGTTTCCCAGATATGTCTTGAAGTGTACGGTACGTGAGCATTTGCGTACCTCTGTGAGGGTGTGGTTTAGGGCCTTCCTCAAAAGACGGTCTGCATCTGTAAATATCATTGTGGAGCTGGAAAATGTCCGTTGCATATCGGGTCTTTGTCACACCTGACTTGCATGATATCTGGACCGTCAGGACAGCATCGGGACCCTTTATCTTTGAAATGATTGCTGATGATGGATTCAACGTTTCCAATGTGCCTATAGACAACCATAAACAGGAGATAATGTCGGAAAGCAATGAATGCTCTTCAATGGTTGATGGGGGGACTCAATCCGCTGTCCAAAGGTTTGGGTTAAGTGGTGCATTCGACGGCGCTTTTCACGTCTCTGGAACATGTTTTCTTTCGTTGAATGCATATTGCTTAAAGAACAAATAGCCGAATCCATTTTTCAAAACATGCTAAATATGTATTATTTTCCGCTCTGTTCCTGTCAAGCTGCACAGTACTTCATGTCAGTACCGTAACAGTATTACTGACGTCAGTAAAAGTATACCATGAAAATCACAGTAATTTTCTGACCTAAAATACGGTTAATTACTGGTACATATTCCCGCCTGTGAGATACTGTAGTTTATTGATTGCGCAGATTAATGCTAATGCATTTATATTAACTGCGTTAAATATGGAAAATGGAAAAACTGCTTGACAAAAGTTCCCTGGACCCATTAGGGTCAACGTGCAACTTGAGGTCATTTAATTATAGCTCCATGGTATTATCTTATATTTGAATTATATTTCACAAATCAAGCTGCAATAAATTGTCTTGAACTAAATTTAACAATTTGTAAACTTCGTTACTCTAAATGCATAATACGGTATTTTTTTTAATGAACCAGACTATACCATTGATGCAAACTACTCTGATGGTGCGGCACAAACATTTACATAACATATCGTTTACAGTTAATTTTGGTCAATTACTGCTGCGAAAGAATGAAGAGCAATGTTGCAAATTTAGTTAGCTAAATCCTCGATTTTTTGAACCGGTTCCTGGCAGCTTCTTGTCGTTATTTACGCAAGATCAATGTACTTGTATTTATTATACCTTGTAGTAACCTGGAATTTCCTTTATGGGCAACATCAGCTGTACTTACGCAACGTGAGTAGCCAAGCGCATAATTTCTTTAGAACACCATTGCCTTCGTACAATAGCACGCCCTCTCCTCTCCTGCGTAGCCTCACTGGTGGCAAAATACACAAGGTAGTGGTGACAAAATCTTCTCTCTTTCCTACAACATCGCTTCGTCGCCGTAGTGAATCAGGTTTGGCAGTAGTTACATCTAATAGGTGAGCTACGGTGACGTTGCATTTATCCTTTATATCGTTTGGTTCATAACCGAGGTGATTCCGTATATAACATATTCATTTTAAGGCAAGGATATTGCAAAGTTAATTCCTCCGTTTACGACCAAGTCCGCCGCAAACTCTCATTACTTAAATAAGATCTCAGAGTCCAGCTAGGGAAGAGTTTCATATATGGACGTCTGTAATTATTCCCTACAGTGATCTATTAGCCATCAGAAAGCAAAAACATGTCCAGAAAAATTCAATTTAGGAAGGAACATCCAAATCGTTTACTTAGAAACAGAATTTTTTCAGACCGGCCTCATCGGGTTTGTGCACGGGTATCAAGTGGTGTCTGTATATGGAACTCTTTCCTCCGGCGAAATTAACCACAGAATTTTTTTTTTGGGGGGGGGGACCTTAGCACTGGCTAAAACCAAAACCCAACACCCCCAGTGATGTTCCAGAATCGGGCTCGCTGCATGCCTCAGGCTCGAGCGATGAAGCGCGTTGGTAAGCCGCGTCCACGTCCACGCCCCCCCCCCTTCATACCACATCTTCCCCTCCTCCCCCGATCCTGTCGTTTGAAGAGGTTGTGGCAAGAACTCCCCAATTTTGATCAGTGTATGCTCTCGGGATTTCCTCGCCCCACCTTGGGACGATCTGAGCAAACTGGTCAAAATGTTGAGTGTTTACCCAACAGCTCTTGAAGCCACGCATCTCCTTACCACTCTGAGGATGCGTCTCCATATTGATGCGTTCCCCTTATTATGTAACATTACAGTTACCACTTGTATGCAGTAAATTTCTTGACTGTCAAAGGACTGTTTTCTGTAGTACACTCGGTATTCCAAAGAGTTTAAAATGGGGATTAGACGAATTTATGTAGAGGGATTTCTTGATTCACTGTGTACTTTTAATGGACAAACTCTGGGGTGAGATTTCTCAGCTTTTTAGCTGATTTCAGCTTTTTTGTTTTGGATATCTGCTTTTTCCCCCTCACTGGCTGTGTACAAAAGTATAGAAGATTTTCACAGCTCGGCTTTTTAACGCCTTTTTCCCGCTGTTTTCAGCTATTTTTATCTTTGGTCAATCTCATCCCTGCAAACTCACGGGGGAACTCGACAGAATAGGGCCTACTCTCGAACTTTTCGACTGACTAGATCTAGGCCTACGTCGAATTTGTCTGCTCCCTAGTTTCTGTCCCCGGAGTGAATTTTCTCTCAACTGGGTACTAGTTTTTCACTCCATGCAGATATGAGAGTAGGGCCTACATACTTAGGCAGAAAATGATCAATACTTCTTTCGGCGTATTGTTGAATTTATCATTGTATAGGCTATGCATTTTCATGGTAGTTTGTAATTTTGGGGGAAGGAATGGGGATTTCTGTGTGTGATCTTTAATGGCTTTTTTGAGGGATGGGGCTAAATTGGGGGTTTTTACACCATTAAGATTTGTGAAAGGAAGAGAAATGAAATAGCTCCAAAACGTCTTTCTCCCTCTCTGTACATTTTTCCTCTAGGTGCATGGCGCCCTCGATCCGTTAATGTGTTGCTGCTATCAGTGCAGTACAGAGTTGACGCCGGATTCAAATATCCAATAATGCCCGTAAGCTCAAGTTTTAATCCCATTTGGTAATATGTATCGTTTCGTGTCCAACGGCGAAAGGCCCAGCTTATTTTGCGATATCGTAAAGTCGATGCTTCGCCGGGGAATTACTCAAATCAAATAACTTGCACTTTTTACGCAGGTAATTGGTTAAATCGTCTGTTTGAATCTCAACTAATACGCTGTCTGTATCAGTGTACAAAAGACAGACGTTTGAACCAAAGTCTTCTTTCTACGTGTTGTAATAGAAGTCGTACATTAAAGTTTTGGATAGATCCAATACGCTTGCGCCGCAGTGAATTGGCTTATTCAACTTTGTTTTGGTTCGATACATTTCGACAAATGATAGGTCGCACTCTTTTAACAAAGTAGTCGTTTTATAATTCGGTTTAGAAGTTAGTTTCTTGCATTTATCGGCATCTTGAAAATCTCTCAGCAAATGTCCATTGATGCGGTAACGCACATTTTCCATCGTCTTGCCAAAGACTGAATTGTTCATCAACTTGAAAAAGTCCTTTTCAAAATCGACATGGCTAATTTACGCAACTCAGTATTTTGCCGATGTAACTTTTCATCCACGGTGCCTGTTTAAAAGACATTGCTTGGTGTACCTCTTTTAGTTTTAAACCGAGTTCTAGGTACTTTACTTTACGTAGTGAACCACGTATTTTTGCTTGGTGCTCAAAGTCGTCACCAGCTTATCTATAGAAGTAACCCTTTCTCCGCTCGATAGCAAGTCACTTTGATAATCCGAGAGCCATTCATTTGGGACCGATATATTTTCGGGTGCCAGCGGGAAATCGTTGTGCTTGTCGTGTAAATGGTTTGGGTACTCTAAAGTGACTTCGAGCATATAGCCTGTCGAAGCTGTCAGTGAAAGTTTTGCGATATACTCGGAAGTAAATTTGGTCGTGTCTTGAACCCATCGAAAGCTTTTGACGGGTAACGGCTGACTCATCGCCCAACCGTACAAATTATTTGCGTCCAAATACATGATGTAAGACGTTGGAATATTTGGGTTGTAGTCTTTTAAATCGGGGTTGTTTGCTTTGGCAAAACGTTTTGCCCCAACGCTCTTTTGGCCCTTTCGAAAAATAGGTGCGTGTCAATGTTTGTTAGCAGCTCAAGTTTCACGCCAGAGTGTTTTAAAAGCGCGTCCCACGATAGGCCCGGCGACGTGTAATAATTGGCCGGGTCTAAACCATAGTTTTTCTTACACACTTTACGAAAATTTTCAAATACGCCTGCTAAAAGCAAAGTGTCCGTTTTGACGTAGAGATCGTTATAGTCTCCGAGATTTTGACAGTCGAACGCTTGCCACACGTGTTGGGCTCTTGTGTATTCTTCTTTGCTTACGGTTTGCTGCTTCAACGAACTGTAAAAAGCGTCTAGAGGAGGCAGTTTTATTTCTTCAAATCGATCAAAAGAGTCTATATACTCGTAAGGATAAATACCCTTTTCTAAAAGAAGGCCGGTATTATTTGGAAATTTTTCGCAGAGCGACTTAAAATCTTCGGGGGAACAATATTTGACCAGTCGATCTAACGAAGCAGCCACGAAATGAAACGAGTCTAGGAATCTAAGTTGGTCAAAGCGAAACGAAATGTAATCCTCGGTGTTTTTGGCAATGACGTTGATTTTACTACCGTCAAATGCTCTAGCCCCTGCATAATTAAATGCGTGTCGTACTTTTCCAAGTTGTATAAAGTCACGGGGGGATGGGTGTGTCAGATTGGGCACCACTCGTAGTTTTAAATTACAGTGAGCGTGTGCAAGACCCCTATATTTGCCTGTAACGTGACAGTGATCTTTAACTTTGTGAAAGTTGTCGATGGGCTTTTCGCAGCTCATGCAAATGTGGTCTTTGAAACCGCGCTCGTTTAAGGAACTAAAGGCGGCCTTTTCGCCTTTAGTTTTTGGTTCTGTTGGAATTAAGCATCGGCACTGTGATTCTTTTGTTTGGTAAATTGGCCTTACGCAAATCCAGCAGTCGTTGCATTTCTCGTAGATTTTTTGCAATTTGCGCGACCAGGGATTTGGATCTGCAAATGTTTCGTTGATCGCGTCGACTTCTCTAGACAGCGATTGCACAAATTTAACGGCTGCATCTTGCCCTCTGTAAGTTTCGCGACTAGTGAACACGCCGTCGCATTTAACGAACACGTAAGAATAGCTGCAAGGCTTGTGAATTTGTGTTTTGACTGTGTTAAATTGTTTTGGCGGGAGATGCTTTAAAACAGATTCAAAATCTGTGTAGATGATTCTTGTAATTTTCAAACTTGAGAATGTTTTGACCTTTTATGGGTTATTCGACTTTACAAGCCGCCGTGTCCATTGCTTGGCAATCGTCTTGTGTCTGTCTAGTCTTTGTTCCGTTTGAAAGTGAGACAGGCAATTGAAACACCAGTAAGATTTGCCGTTGTGATTACTTACGTCGCCCATTAACCGAGAAAAGTTATTAATCCAACAGTAATGGCTCGTTTCAGCTCGTGTAAAGTAGAGTAAATTTATGGGCTCGCCAATGCGTTTAGTTTTGTAAAGTATGTAGATGCCTTCTTTCCACGTGTAACCCAATACGTTGATGGCTGAATTATTTTGTGATTCAAAGTTCGTGGAATTTGTGAAACGGGTGTTGGAAAGTCCACTTTTGTGAAATTTAAGCAGTCGCCTCTAGTGTAAGTTGAGGTTCTATCCTCGAGTATCATATAATTTGGAAGGGAAGGGGGAAAGTCCCTTTTAGACCGGTAGTCACGTGAGAAGGGGAAAGTCCCATGGTAGCGGAAAGTCCCTTTTGATTTGGGAAGAGTGGAAAGGAAGGGCTGGTCTGGAACTCTCCTACGCCTACTACTTAACTATAAATGAAAAGACATGGTAATCTTTTCAACAAGCAGTGTGCCAGGGAATCAAAGTAGTCTACTCCACTTGCGAAGAAGGAAATTCACGCCCCCTAATGAGATTTCTTTTTTCTTTCTTTTTTTTTTGGTCTTGAAAATCATACTTTGTTAAAATACAAAATCTCCTTCAGTTTGAAGCAATCTGAGACCCAATCTCACTGCATTCCACCCTGATTATACGGAAAAGAATTTAGAAACTACTGAAATATTCGCAGCGGTGAGATGTCAATTTGAGGCGGCGGCAAGATTGTATAACTCGTCATAGAAAGATTTAACTCGTCGCGGCGAGATAGTGACTCGAAAAAAAGTTTGCAAGTGGCCCTTATACGTCTCTGTAGTTTTTCCACTCGTTTTATAAAAAAAAAATGTCAGGTTCCCATAACTTTGTTATAACGTTCTACGTCATCATCAAGTTCATTTCAGCGAGTGTCACAAGTTGTTTGACGTGGATGAGTAAACGTTGCCCTTACAAAAAGGACATTTATTAGTGAAAAGGGGAGGCTAAAGGCAAATGAGCGTCAACACTTGCGCCAAGCGTTGCGTATCCGTCGCTCCTGATGCGTTTTTGATGTTCATGTTCATAGAGTCGATTTTATGTCCACAAAATTCATCCCGAAGCGTGTAAACAACCCCCAAAATGTAGTTCCACCCCAGAAAGACCATGAAAGGTAACATAAAAAAAAAATAATAAAAAAAAAAATTGTGCGCCCCAAGTTTCGTTCCTATTAAAACTTTTGTTCGGAATCCACTATTGCTTACCTTACGCCCGGGGCTTGATTGTAAATTTTAAAAAATCAACCTGTTACAAATGAATGACTTTCAGTGTGCTGAGCAGGAGTTTATTAAATGCTGCCAAGTATAGATCTCCACAATTCAAGTACAACCGGGGAACGGGACCGCGCTTTGCAGGCAGTTTGTAGAACTCGGCTTGCACGAATTATCAGGATAGCGGTGTAGCGCCCTCTATCGGACTAAATGGAGTTTATGCCACACTCAGTTTGGTTCATAACCAATACAACAACGACAAGAAATAATTTATTTTGGAGAATTTGTCCGGTAAAACGTAAGTAAGGGTGACCTTATTTTGTTTTGTGTATTTCAGTGTCCACTCAATGTCCCAGTCTGATTTGATGGACGCCTCCCAACAGAATAGCAAAGGTTGTGATAAGATGAATCACACTTGGACAGTTGGTAAAGCAAAGAGAGATAATTGATTGTGTTCTTTTCCTGGAGAACAATGGGGCTTAGGTAAGGAAGTGCACCTTAGGCCACAATATGTGCGAAGATTTAGCAATTAATCATACATGATATCACTTGCTTCTTTCTGATAGATTTTGATAAATTGTTGCCTTTGGTAGGCCTATAACGTCACTGCCAAATTTATGCAAGCAGTTAAAAATAAAGACATCCCCACGACCAGTGGGGGCTTGAACAAATGTACAGCCCTTATCCTTCGTGATCTTGTACACATCTGTTACCACTGTAATAACTTTAACCAAAAAAGTAGACAAAATGATGACAAGAACATTTCCATCTTGCAGCGGCCATGTGGATATTTTCTGGGGTACAGATGTAAATCACTGGATAACCAAAGTGTCTTCTCTTGTGAAGAAATTATCACATTATCTTAGGTTGGCTCTCATCAGTCGACGTGTGGTGTCACGTCAACTTTGCATATACATGCATATGAGATGCATACAAAGCCAGGGGTTTCTTGAACACAAGAAACCCACTTGAGAACTCATAAGAGGTCCTCACAAACACCACAGGGATTATCGTTCAAGGACGTGTGATCACGGCTGTGACTGCTCCAGGGCTCTGGCGACATCTTCTGGTATCTCCACCTCGTCCAGGTTCCCCATGCCTGGTTCCGGTTCCTCCTTGATCAGCACCTGGATCAGATTCTCGATGGGTTGCTGTAAAGACGGTTCCTTCTCCCATCTGTGGTACTCCCTTATGATGATGTAGGTCCTCTTGTCTTGCACAGTCTTGCGGCCAGATTTTGTGGAGCAAAGCTTTATAAGAAAAAGTGTTGCCAAAAAACAAAACAAAATAATGCTGAATCTGTTGCTCAAGTAAACAATAAAGTCAGAAAAATTAATGAATCCGTCAAATTTGTAAATCAAACATTCTAAATCACATTCATCTTTGAGTAATTTGACAATATATCCATCAGCTGAGCTGGTTAAATTTGTTAACAAATTAACCATTTATAAGTAGATAGTCGATATGATTAATATCTCCTTACTGTCACCTCAAGTAAGGACACTGCTAAATGGAGGTTGACAAAAATTCAACTTCATTCACTGAATATTTCCAATCTAAAAATGCTGGAATACATGTAATTACCTTTATACTTTGTTTAAAAATAGAAACTGGAAAACTCAGTTTGATCAAAACTTTATCAATCTATCTTACAAGGGTGCTGAAAATGTAAAAAGAAAAACCAAGTCAAGATACTTGTTTAAATCATTAATTTTAAACAAAAACGTGATGCCATCCGTCAATGGGGAAATTAGGAGTTAATTATTAATTTCAAGATCTAGAACGAATTTATACCTTCATGACCGCCTCTAAGAGCATCTTCTTAATATCTGAATCTGTCTCCCTTTTCTTGTCTTCTTCTAAGTACTGTAAGTCTTCTGGCATCCCTTCCATTTCTTCCTCAGAAAGCTCTTCGGGGCCAGCAAGAGGCAGCAACAGATAAGGTAGGATGTCCACCGTGTTGCTTAGCAACCAGTCATGATAAGCTTAACAAAGGACACAATTTTAAAATGGTTCATTCACACTCTCAGTTGAACAAAGACAGAACGTTTGACTGTGTAAAGAATTCCTCCAACATTCTCTCCCAGCTAAGTTTTAAAAATGTTCTTTTTAATTTTAAGAACAGCTTTATCCGAAAACTACAATGCAACATGTGAAAAGAAGATGGCTCAGTTCTGAGTCTATGATGAAGTGGAAAAATACTCTTTTACAGCTGGACTTCCCCCACAGAGTTGTACATAAAAATGAATGCATTACTTTTTTCATCCAATCCCACGACACATTGGGAACATCAACAAATTTCAGTGGGGCAAGATCAACAGGTACATGTTTGTGGATCACTTCTCTTTCTTCACCTGTTTCAAAACAGCAGTTTTTGAGAGCAGCCACTGCACCCCTCCTTCTAACTGTCGAGCCCTCATACTGTGTGTAGGGCAACAACCTTTGCACAACACATCTCTCCTTGTTCAAGATAAACTCCCGGCCCTCAGGCAGCTGTGTCAAGTTAGACAGCACCAGCCCCAAGTAGTCCAAGTTTGCTCCTTTGTCATTGTAGTTCTTCATACAGAATGCCTCCACCAACATCACCAAGTCAACAGGGAAATCCACGTCTCCCAAAAGGTCCATAACATTTCTGCATCCTGCCGGTATGCGTGTTATGTTGGTTAACACTTTGCAGGCATTGTCCGCATTGCCGCTAGACTTATCCACCACCGTTTTCAATAAAATGGACAACAGCTTTTTATTTGAAATTAGATGACCTGCGCTTTCACCTTCGTTGCTCTCTGTTTCCGCACAAATGTTGATGATAGATTTATAAGCAACCGAGGAAATTTGCTCATTGGAATCTTGAGTTAAATCTACGACAGCCGCAAGCATCTTAGCGTGTGAGAGGAGTAAGCGTACACCGTCCGCAGACGAAGTGAGCCCCATCACATACTGCAGAGCACTCGCTTTCAGGTCCGGACGAGCGGACACGGAGAGGAAGTTCAAGAACTCGTCCAGAACGACAGGATTTGCCATGACAAGAAACTCCGTCAATCGCGTCTAATATGATATTTATAAGACTTTGTGTTCGTCTACAAAACAGTGCATTTAACAATTTCAAATTTTATTAACATCGCATCGCCAGCGCAGAGTTTCCAGCAAATGTACATGTATAGCCTATCATGCACGTACACAAAGTTGTTACACATGTACTGTACATGTACGTGGTAACCATTGATCCCATTATCAATGGCTGTAACCCATGCCATATCGTTCGCATACGAGGAACCATCTTGGGCACCTGACTAATTTTGGTCTTCATGCGCTAGGGGGCGCTCCTTTATTTCATTTACAACCATAAGCGAACGTACCACGCATGTACAGTACACATCACCGACTGACTGTAATATATTTTGGTGCGTTTGAACCAAAGAAATTCCTCTCTAGTATCTTTGTTTTAAATAAGACATATCCAAGAACGTGGGCGCAATGTCTGGAGGTTTTCGTTATTGTCTACGAGTTGGGAAAATGGTCCTGTGCGGCGTAACTACTGGCGTAGCTGCGGCAGCCGTGGTGTACAAAACTAGTGAAGGCAAAGACGAATTATTGCCCACTGCTCATGCGTCGTGGACCACCAACTACACACCCAGTTGCAAGTGGGAAGGAAACTGGGACAGGTAAAATTGCTGCAACTTTTGGTTTTGAAAAACAAAAGAGAAAGCAGAACTATTGGTAACAGTACTAGCCAGGAACAGCAAAGATGCTCTCCTTGTATTTGAAAGTTATACTGACAGCAGCTGCTTTAAAAAGTACAGGGAAAAGAACAAATTGATATCTGCCTTTTTGTAGAAAACCGTAGGACGTAATGTTAGATAAACTTTAAATATGTGCACATTTGTAAAAAAGGTCATAATGAGATTTTATTCATAACAATTGTGATTAGTGTACATCATTATCATCACTGTTATTTTAAAATGCCTGCATGGAGATGTGTATACTATCACAGACTTGCATGTAAGTAAAGTGATGGCATTTAACATTTTAGGTAATTTTTTTCATCAAGAATGATAAATGTGCTGAACACATTTCCCTGGAAAGTACTTCTGTATGTTCTCCAGTTAATAGCTTCAACTAGAAATTTACTGAGAAAACTCCCAAATTGTTGTTTGTTGTTTGTTTAAACTACTGAGGTTATGAATTTTTTCCCATCAAATATAATTAATCCCAAGGCCAGTGTTATAGAGCATATGTGTAGGTAAAAGTGATGATTTATCCTTCGGTGAGATGTCTAATATGCACACAACTTTCTTTTGCAGGAAGCAATCACAACTTGTGAGTTGTGATATTTTTCTTAACCCCTTGACGATGGGAATTTCTTTCCGAAAGCCGACTCCAAGAATTCCAGCCTCGCTTGGCCACGAAGGCCACCTACCAAACTGCCAATTCTCGGTTTGTGGCCCTGCGTGTTCTGCAGGCTTTGATTTACACAGTGAAAAGGCTCATTAGTGGCATGCGGCTCTACTCGCGCTTCCACATTCCCGTTGCCTCTTTTCAAAGTGGGGACTATTGTGAAGCTGGTGATTATGATGCAAATTCGGCCTTTTCATTTCTTGGCAACACACAAAGGCCAATCACCATATATACAAAAGCCAGGGTATGCCTTCTTTCACCGTGTTCGCTCGAGCGTGGGCTGAGAATAATAGCTGAAAAGTGGGTTGAGGATCTCAATTTTTACGGCGGCTCTATCCGCGTCCCAGCGCGAAGGGGTTAAGGACACAATCTTGTGTTTTTTTGGAGATTTAAACCCATGTTTAGAAAACCACACCAGGCAAAGGATGAGTCCTACATCTTGCCTGTTGCTAGCCCCATTCTTTCTGCTCTCTGAACACTTCCTGTGACTGGGAGTCCATTGTTCTTTTCAGGAGGGACCCGGGCAGCCTGCTGTCTCCCAACAAGACAGAGCTTGACGGGTCAGAGTTGAGTGGCCAGATACAGAAGTTGAAACCCACGGCAACACGCCACCTGATCCTGATCAGACATGGCCAGTACGACATGGATGGGGAGACAGACGAAAAGCGAATTCTCTCTGCCCAAGGTATTCAGATAAAAAAAACCAACATTACACTGGACTACCAAACTGTTGGCCTATTGTCACCATGCGATTACATGTACATGTACCATCATCTTTTGTTTGGAAAGAATTCCATACACTTGCCACTTTACACTGTGCACAAATCCAATGAGACTTGGCTGAAAAATACTAATTTTTTATGCGAATGAGTCAATATTTTCCCTGCTAAATTTGAGTTTTTAGGTTATATTTTTGCTTTCAGTCAGCTATTAGGTGACTGTTGGGAGAAAATTAGTGGCATCCTTATATGAAGTTCTTTCTTTTTTTCAAAAATCTGACTGTCTTTAGAATTGAGCACTCTGGCTAATATTTTCTGTTTGTTTAATTTAGAATATGTCATATCATTTACTGATATTTGACCCCTTCCCTGCAGGGATGGATGCAAGTTTATCTTGAAGGTACAAAGAGGTACAATCCCTCAACCTGCAAGAAAACTTTTTTATGACTAAATCCAGTTTACATTTGTTTGCCTACAAAAATAACGACACAGTAGACACTGGACAAACTTATCAGAGGTGATTTCTTCACAAGGATTGAATTTCCAAGTGTTAGCTCTAACTTTGCTCAATCCAATAAGAAGAAGTTTTATATGATTTAAATTAATTAATCTCAAGGGTGTGTCTATAAGACAATGAGCTTTCCCACCTGAAACCTAGAGGGGGCCATAATATCAGCACAGCTTTTTATCTCTGGTTTAGTAAGCTAAGATCTCTGCAAACTGCCCAATGGGATCCGGGATTTTGTCATGGGTGACAAGATCGGCAAGCAGTACATACATGAAGAGCAGGTTTTAAGTTAATTTTGTGCCAGTTACTGTGATCGGAGGTTTCCATTTAGAGGAAACCTAACCTAACCTAATATGTTACCTTGGAGGTCCAGAATTAAATGAAATTTGAAATATGTCTTATTTCGTCCATGTCATTTTTGTGTTCTGAAGGAAAGGAGCAAGCGGAATTGACAGGCAAACGACTGAAAGAGTTGGACCACCCTTACACGTTAATGATCCATTCCTCTATGACCAGAGCTAAGGAGACAGCCGACATCATAGCTAAGAGTATACCACAGGTCCCGAGGGGTGTTTGTGATATGCTGAGGGAAGGAGCTCCCATCCCACCGGAACCTCCAGTGGGCCACTGGAAGCCGGAATTGAAAGTAGGTGTTTGAATAATGTACGAGTAACCCCCTTCCCCTCCATTGTGAAAAGGAAAAAGATATTTAGCCACTTACTGCCGGGGAATCCCATTTCGAGCACCATTGGTTTATACGCAGAGCCGAAATGGGACAAAAGAGCTGGTCCGTGTATTAAACAAAAGAACGTACTTGGAACAAAAGACCTGCTGCTGGGTATTGCCATCATTTTTGGGCTTGCATTTTTCAAAAGTAAACCGTCACTGTTTTTAAACAGTATACCACGGTTTTAGGCCTAGCCCGCCCACATATTAGCACTGTGGGCAAAAGTGCTCCAGGGCCCCATTGATGAACAGCACCACTGCATGCTAATCCGGCCACATTTGAAAAGATGCCACTCGCATTCACTGGGGACAAAGGAAATTACGCAACACCTCAATTCTGGGCTCTCTTTACAGGGCGGCAGGCCTGGCTGATTTACTCAGGAGTCAATGAAGGTTGCCTTTCCGCTTAGAGTAGCCAACAAACAGTCATCCATGTGGGTGTAAACATCCATTAAAGGAAATGATAAATTTTTGGAGAATTTTGAAAACTGAAAATCTTGAAAATCTTCCGTGTGAGTGAACTGCGTTTTTAAAAGCACCCGGCAGCAAGTGGTTAAGTACCATTGCGTGCACCTCTGCTTCT